ACCAAAGCAAATACACTTTTGCACACAGATACTGACTAGTATTCCAGTGTTTCTCTTCTCCCTAAGTTTTCCTCCATCACTGAGCTAATGTGACCCCAGCACTGATGGACAGGGGTGGGCGAGGGTCAAACAAGAATGCTGTGCAGATTACCAACGTCTTCCTTATCAACTGATGATGCCATTGGTTGTCAGGACGCTGGCGGCTAGAAGGTCGTAACGGAGCACAATGAAAACCTGTTGCTGTGTGTAACTAAAAGACAGGCTTGTTCCACTTATATACAAGTTTTGAGCTATTTTTAGACATTTTGCCAAGGCACCCCTGAAGAAACCTCAAGGCACCCCAGGATGCCTGGGCACCCTGGTTGAGAAAGGCTGATCTATACCATAGTTTGTAGATGTTATAACTTTCACACAAACCAATTGATATGCAGTTATTGGGATTTTTTACCAAAGACATGTATTAGAACACATTTTGGCCTAAATTCATGACTAACCTTGAGTTACTGTATATTTTTTATAGCCAAAAGTAAAAAATATGGGTTTTTTTCCAAACTTTTTGGTCTTTTTTTTGTTTATAGCGCAAAAAATAAAAAGTGCACAGGTGATCAAATACCGCCGAAAGAAAGCTCTATTTGTGTGAAAAAAAGGACATAAATGTAATTTATGTACAGTATTGCATGACCACGTAATTGTCATATAAACTAGTGAAGCGCTGTATAGCAAAAATGACTTTCACACAAAGCAATCAATATACACTTATTGTGATTTTGTTTTACCAAAGACAAGTAGCAGAATACATTTTGGCTTAAATTTATGACTAACTTTGAGTTAGGATTTTTTTCAAATTTTTAAATTAGTAGCAGTGTCAGTTAGTGGCAGGGTAAAAACAATGTGCACTATCATTTCTGGGCCTAGAGGCGAGCGCGGGAGGAGGTGATGAGGGAGCTAGAAAGGAAGATATCTTGGGAGGAGCGGAGTGGGCGATTTGGGTGGTATCTGCAGATGAGGTTGGTGATGTAGCTAGGGGCAGTGTTGTGGATGGCTTTGTATGCTGTGGTTAGTATTTTGAATTTCATACGTTCAGTTAGTGGAAGCCAGTGAATGGATTGGCAGAGAGGGGCAGCAGTCGCTGATTGGTTGATAAGGTGTATGAGTCTAGCAGCAGCATTCATAATAGACTGAAGGGGGGATAGCCTGTGTAACAGTAAGCCAGTGAGGAGGGAGTTGCAGTAATCAAGACGGGATAAAACCAATGCATGGATAAGTTGTTTTGTGGTGTCATTGGTCAGAAAGGGGCGGGTTTTGGAAATGTTCTGGAGGTTGAGGCAGCAGGATTTAGCCAGTGATTGGATGTAGGGTCCAAAGGAGAGGTCAGAGTCTAGGATTACGCCTAGCACCCTGGCATGAGGGGAAGGACCAATGGTTGTGCTGTTGATCTTAATGGTAAAGTCGTGAGTTGGGGTTCCGTGAGGAGGAAATATTACAAGCTTGGTTTTGGAAAGATTAGTAGATTTGTGATACGTGAGGAGATTGAGGGGGTGAGCTGGGGATTTGATAGATAGACCTGGGTGTCATCAGCATAGAGGTGGTATTGGAAGCCATGGGAGGTTATCAGTTGGCCCAGGGAGGAGGTGTAGCGAGAGAAAAGAAGAGGCCCAAGAACAGAACCTTGGGGTATCCCAACAGAAAGAGGGGGAGGAGCAGAGGAGGAGGAGTTGTATGTGACACTGAAAGTGCTCTGAGAAAGGTAAGAGGAGAACCTGGAGAGAGCAGAGTCACGGAGGCCGATGGAGTGGAGTTTACTGAGGAGGAGCGGGTGGTCGACTGTGTCAAAGGCAGCGGAAAGGTCAAGGAGTATGAGTATGGAGTAACAGCTATTGGTTTTAGCAGTTACTAGGTCATTCGTGAGCTTTAGTAGGGCAGTTTCTGTGGAATGTTGTGGGCGGAAGCCAGACTGTTGGGGATCAAGAAGGTTGTTGTCGGTGAGGTAGCAGTTCATACGGTTGTGAACAAGGCGCTCGAGAAGCTTGGAGGCAAACAGGAGTAGGGAGATGGGTCTTAAGTTATTCAAACAGGTGGGGTCCAGCGAGGGTTTTTTGAGTATGGGGGTAACCAGTGCATGTTTGAGTGGGGAGGGAAAGGTGCCCATGGAGAGTGAGAGGTTGAAGATGTGGGTTACCACTTCCTTGGTGGTAACAGGGCTGAAGGAGGAAAGTGTTCAGTGTGGTGTTGGACCTGGTATGTTGGTTGGAGGAGGAAGCTTGACACTGGAGATCTCATCACAAATTGTGTCGATCTTCTTCTTGAAATGACTGCCAATCTCCTGTGCAGTGAGAAAGTCTGTGGGTGGAGGCAGTGGGAGGTGGAGTAAGGAATTAAGGGTAGAGAAGAGTTGACGAGGATTGGATGAGAGGGTTAGAGAGGATGAGAGGATAGGATGATGAGAGTACTACGATACAAACAACTAACATACACATATGTGATATCACTGCAATCGTGAAGAGCAGGAGAAATTATTTTGTGTTGTACTTTGGTGGTTGGTTATGGTAGTAGCAAGAAATATACAACTACTTTTTAAAAAAGATGTTTTTTTTACTACTTTGGGTCAGTTCCTTTGATAATTAAAAAAAAAAAATCAGGAGATATTTATTACCATTTACCACCAAATGAAAGCTCAATTTGTCCTGAAAAAACAAGGTATAATCCACCTGGATGCACAAAGTAGTTGTGATATATGCAGTTTTGCTAACACATGTCAGTGTTACAAAATTTTGCTTAGGCTTTAAGATTTGTTTTACCCTTAGGCATGAAGCGGTTAAGCTCACTCAGTGACCTGCAGCCTTCTCAATGAGAAGGCTGCTTAGCTACATACTCAAAGACCAGAGGTGGTTTCTGAGACAGGAGACTTTCATAAAATGTACCAAAGGGACTAGTAACAGGTCCAGAGAATTCTTTATTCCACAGACCTCCCAGTGGGGAAAATTATTGATATCCTGTGATATCTGGTCACCTCACATTGGCTGACGTTGCATGTCTGGTTTAGGATAAAATAACATTCTCCAAGACATACAAAATATCTGTACTTCTGAGTTTACAATAAAGCAATATGTAAGGTGTGAGGCATAGTGAACAATAGTTTATTTGGTGCAAATGACTAGGCATGTCTTCTTACAAAATAATTATTGCATATGATTGACCTAGGTAGATTATGTAAAGGAAAAATGGGGTATGGAAATGGTACATTCTACCCTATTATTTATGTTTATTCTCCAATTGCATTTGCTGATTATTCATTTTTTAAACTGATTCTGCTTGTTCTCCACTGCCCATTACAGAAACTGCCACCGTGAGTATTCAATTCAAAATGATAATTTTACTAGGTACAACAAAAACTTTTATATAAAGGAGGTAACTGTTATTCTTCTTTGTTGCTGTGGGCACAGCAAGAGTCTACACAAAGGCAAAAATAATGTGGTTAAAAGTGGAATCCTGCAGGGAAAACTAAGCCCAAGCAATTCTTCATTATGGTTCATTTGCAATATTTTGAAGGAAACACTGCTTTTACTAACTTTATGTGCTGCTACATTATAGTCAGTAAAGGGTTGGCTCTGGGTTGTACCATATGGTAGAATCCACACATTTGATATATTTTTATAAAAAATATTGTTTAGATAAACATTGAGACAGTACTACTTTTGCTCTGTAGGACTGAAGCTGTGGGTACAAATACCAAGTAGGTAGAAAAAATCTGTAGACTTCACAACACGGTATAATCCAGGACCAACCCATCATTCTCTAGCTAAGCAGCACACTATGAAAAAAAGGGATCACAAACACTCCAAATCTTATGGTCTATCTTGGTACCCAAGGAGCAATGACCTGGTGTAAGAGGATAGGATTTGGGTTCCTAGAGCACTGGGCTGACTTTTCATTGGGGCGCAACCTATATGCTACGGATGGTTTGCACCAAAAATGGAAGGGGGTCTGCTGTACTAGAGGAAAGGTTTATGGGATGGCTGGAGGAGTATTTAGATTATAATGGGGCAAACAGATCTGACAGGGGTCAGCACTTATTGGTGGGTAGAATGGGGAAAGATGGCAGGTGATAAGAAGGTTCCCATGTTACACACAACCATTGGAATTGGTACCATTTGTACAGAAATAAAAAACATGCAAAATACATGTGCACAAGGTGTCAGAAGTTTGCCAAGCAAAATAGGTGAGTTGGAAGCTTTGGTGTATGAAGAGAACTGGGATTTAATTGGTATTGCTGAATCTTGGCTTCAGTTTTCACATGACTGGACCATTAATATTCCTGGCTATGTTCTCTTTCGGAGAGTCAGGGTATAAAGGAAAGGTGGTGGTGTTTGTCTCTATGTGAGAAGTGATCTCAGAAGGAGTGTGAAAGAAGACCTAGTTGATGGAGAGTGTGATGAGGCTGAAGCAATATATTTGGAACTGCACATGGGGGTGCGTACTACAAAGGTAATCATTGGAGTTTATTATAGACCACCCAGTGTTAATAAGGAGGTGGAGACTCAGCTCCTTGATCAAAAGGGCTGCAAGAACTGTGACAGTGATAATAATGGGGGATTTTAACTACCTGGAAATTGACTGGAGTAATAGCACTGAAGGAACAGTTAAAGGGCAAAATTTATAAACCTACTACAGGACAATTTTATGGTACAGTTCATAGAGGACCCAACTAGGAATGATGCTCTGCTGGACCTGGTAATCTCAAACCATGCATGTTTATTACTAATGTCCATATAAAAGAACATCTGGGTAGCAGTGACCTTAACATGATTTAATTTACTGTTAACTGTAAACAAACACTTACAAGAAAAATAAAAATGCTCAACTTTAACCGCCTCCCCCGCCTGCCATATAGTACAAAGACGGGCGCAAGGTGGTTCTCTCGTTCTGGGAGGACATCATAAGACGTCATCCCATTCTAACCGAGCATGCGCGGCTCTGGGAGTGCGCAGCGCGGCAATCGGTGGTGCGCTGTGTCCCTCGGACACAGCGGATCACCGATCAACGGAAAGAGCCGAAGATGTTGGCTCGGTCATGTGATCAGCTGTGTCCAATCACGGCTGATCACATGTAAATAGGTAAATGCCGGTTATCGGCATTTCTCTCCTCACGAGCTGTCAAACTGACAGCTCGAGAGGAGAGGAGAGCCAGTAATCGGCAACCCTCAGAGGGGACATGTGCACTGATCATCAGGGCACTGATGATCAGTGTGCCCTGATGATTTTTGTAGCCCCAGCAGTGCCAGCTGTCAGTGCTCATCCATGCCACCTGCCAGTGCCCATCAGTGCCACATCAATGCCACATATCAGTGCCTACCAGTGCACATCAATGCCACATATCAGTGCCCATCTGAGCTGCCTTTCAGTGTCACCCATCAGTGCCAGCCAGTGCCACCTATCAATGCCAGTCAGTGCCACCTATCAGTGCTGCCAGTCAGTGCCGCCTATCAGTGCCCGTCAGTGTCGCCTATAAGTGCCACCTACAGTAATAGTCCCAGTCAGTGCCACCTATCAGTGCCGCCTATCAGTGCCAGCTATCAGTGCAATATATGAGTGCTGCCTTTCAGTGCCCATCAGTGATGCCTGTCAATGCTCATCAGTGCCACCTACAAGTGCCTTCTCATCAGTGTCCTTCAGTGCCACCTATCAGTTTCCATCAGTGCAGCCTATCAGTGCCCATCACTGCAGCCTCATTAGCGCATGAAGGAGAAAAATCACTTATTTACAAAATTTTATAACAAAAACTAAAAAAAAAAAAAACTTTTTTTTTCAAAATTTTCAGTGGTTTTTGGTTTGTTTAAAAGAAAATAAAAAAACACAGAGGTGCTTAAATACCACCACAATAAAGCTCTATCTGTCTCAAAAAAATGATAAAAATTTAATATGGGTACAGTGTTGCATGACCGCGCAATTGTCATTCAAAGTGTGACAGCGCTGAAAGCTGGAAATTGGCCTGGGCAGGAAGGGGGTATAAGTGCCCTGTAGGCTAGTGGTTAAGAGAACACAACACAGAAATGGGAGTTCTTCAAAAAGACTGTATGTGAACACACTGCAAAATATAGTCCCATGGGCAACAAGTTTAAAAGGCTAAAAATCAAACCTATGTGGCTTACGGCCAAAGTTAAAAAAGCTATAAATAATAAGAAAAGAGCTTTTATTAATTATAAAAAATGAAGGAACACTATCATCATTTAGGCATTACAAAGAATATCAAAGAATATTTAAAAAGGAAATCAAGGCTGCAAAAATTGAAAACGAACGACAGACTGCAAAAGATAGCACGACAAACTCCCAAAAATTCTTCAAATATATTAATAGTAAAAAGGTTCGGTCCGAGCATGTAGGCCCTTTACAAAATAATCTAGAGTGGGTGACTGGGGACAAAGAGAAGGAAAGTTTATTAAATACCTTCTTCAGCTCTGTGTATACAAAGGAGCATGGAGGAGCTCTTGTCCATAATGGGCATGGTATTGACACAGCCCCAGATGATCCACATTGGCTCACAACTGATATGATCAAGAAACATTTAGACAGAATAAAGGTGCCTTGAACTCTGTCATTTTAAAGCCATTGTTTCTAATTTTTAGGGACTCTTTAATGACTGGCATAGTACCACTGGATTGGTGTAAGGCCAATGTGGTGCAAATATTTAAAAAGGTATCAAAATCTTTACCAAGTAATTATAGACCTGTTAGTTTAACTTCTATAGTTGGAAAGATACTGGAGAGTTTAATAGAAGACCACATAGATGAGTTCTTGCTGGAAAAAAAATGTAAGCAACAGACAGCATGGATTCATGAAAGACAGAAGTTGTCAAACAAATCTGATTTATTTTTCTGAGGAGGTGAACAAAACCTTGTACAGAGGGGTGGCGATGGACATGGTATACTTGGATTTTGCAAAAGAATTTTACACAGTTCCCCACACATGTCTAATGTTTAAGGTAAAGTCTACGGGCTTAGAAAAATCTGTATGTAAATGGATAGAAAACTAGCTAAAAGATCATATTCAAAGAGTAGTGGTTAATGATTCATACTCTGAATGGTCTAGGGTTGTTAGTGGTGTACACCAGGGTTCAGTGTTGGGACCCTTACTTTTTAATATATATTTATAAATGATAAAGGGTCTGGGATTAAAAATCCCATTTCAGTCTTTGCAGATGACACCAAGCTGTGCAGTGGAATAACGTCCTTACAGGATGTCTCCAATTTACAAGCTGACCTTAATGCACTGTTTAATTGGGCAACTATGTGGAAAATTAAGTTTAATGTTGATAAATGTAAGGTTATGCACTTAGGAGCTAAAAATATGCATGCATCATACATACTAGGGGGAGTACAACTGGGGGAATCTATGGTGGAGAAGGATCTGGGGGTTCTGGTAGATCCCAAGCTTAATAATGGCATGCAATGCCAAGCTGCAGTTTCTAAAGCGAGCAAAATCATGTCTTGTATTAAAAGAGGTATAGACTCCAGAGAGAGAGATATCATATTACCCCTGTAAAAATCATTAGTAATACCTCATCTGGAATATGCAGTTCAGTTTTGGGCACCAATTCACAAAAATAACACTGGGGAACTTGAGAAAGTACAGAGAAGGGCAACTAAACTGATATGAGGCATGTAGGAGGAAAGATTAGAGGAACTGAATTTATTCTCTCTTGAGAAGAGGAGATTAAGAGGGGATATAATCAACATGTATAAATACATCAGTGCTTCATATAGTGAACTCGGTGTAGAGCTATTCACCCTGAGGTCATCACAGAGGACAAGGGGGCACTCTTTATGTCTGGAGGAAAAGAGATTTATTCTCCAAATATGGAAAGGTTTCTTCACAGTGAGAGCTGAGAAAATGTGGAATAGCCTACCTCAAGAGTTGGTTTTGGCCAGCTCAGTGGATTGCTTTACCCAACTCCCATCCGGCTGTTGTAAATAAACGGCCAGACGGTGGCAGTGCAGGGTCGGGTGGCTGTTTATAAACGGCCTCCCCGCCTCCTGCTTGTGCGCGCATCCACCGGACACAGTGGAACACCATGAGGTCCCGATCATGTGATCATTCATTGGCCAATCAGTGATTACATGCAGAGTAGTAAGCAAGATGTCACTTCTGACATCATTGCTTACTACGTGTAAAATCTGTGAATGATCACAGAGGTCACATGGTACAAGGCTATTCACAACAGCCTTGTAACATGTGACAAGCTGTGACCAATCACAGCTCGCACAGTAGTTCTCAATGGCTGCAAGAATGCAGCCAGAGAGAAGGAGAAATGATTGCTTTTACAGCCTTTATGGGTGTAAAAGCAATCAGTGTAAAAAGAAAAAAAAATCTTCATCACCCCCCCCACAAGTAGTACAGTGTCACCATGATGACACTGTACTGCTACGGTGACAGTACGTTAAAAAAAAAAAAAAAAACATAAATAATATAAAAAAATAAAATAAAAATGTAAAAAAATGTTTAAAAATTATAATTTTTGGTTATAAACAAATTTGGGTTATTTTTTTTTTTACTAAAAAGATAACAGAATAAATTTTGGCCAAGATTTATGATGAAATATTATTTATTTTATTTTAAAATTTTATAAGAAAAACACTTTTTTTCAAAATTTTTGGACATTTTCATTTACATAGCAAAAAAATAAAAAATCCCAGTGGTGAATAAATACCACCAAAATAAAACTTTATCTGTCTCAAAAAAATGCTAAAAAATTCATATGGGTACAGTGTTGCATGAACGCTCAATTGTCATTCAAAGTGTGATAGCACTGAAAGCTGAAAACTGGCCTGGACTGGAACGGGGTAAAAGTGTCTGGACTTGCAGTGGTTAAAAAAGGCCTGGCTTCTTTCCTAGATACACAGAATATAACTGGATACTAACATTTATAGGTAAAGTTGATCCAGGGAATATCTGATTGCCTGTCGGCGGATCAGAAAGGAATGTTTTCCCTGCAGGATCGAATTGGATCATGCTTTGCTGGGTTTTTTGCCTACCTCTGGATCAACTGTGGGTATAGGATTATAACTTTTTCTTATGGTTGAACTGGATGGACTTTAGTCTTCTTTTCTGCCAAACTAAAAATGTAACGACCATGTAAGACTAAAATACAAACAATTTATTTGTTACCCTTTTCTTTCCAATTCAATTCCCCCCGGCCACCCCCCCTCACCATTTTGTTCCTTGCATTTCCCTCTTTTTTATTTATTTCAGATACTTATATAGCACTGTCAATTTACGCAGCACTTTACATATATATTATACATTCACATCAGTCCCTAACCCTCAAGGGGTGTACAATCTAAGGTCCCTAAATCACATTCATACATACACATACTAGGGCCAATTTAGACAGGAGCCAAATAACTTACCAGCATGTCTTTGGAGTGTGGGAGGAAACCAGAGTACCTGGAGGAAACCCACGCAGGCACAGGGAGAACATGCAAACTCCAAGCAGGTGGTGCCATGGTTGGGATTTGAACCGGCAACCCTAGTACTGCCAGGCGGACATGCTAACCACTTAGCCACTGTGCTTTTTTTGCCTTTTATTTCCTTTTTTGTTCTCTGTTTGGTAGTATATATTATTCTGACTATGTTTGATTCTTCAGCCCAACAACTCCCACAACCCTGCAACCCTATAAACGATATAGGGTCTGGGAGTTGTGGCATACTATTGTGAGATCCTCCCTTGGGCATCTGTTCTTGTCGGTAAGCAAATTTTTCAACCACCTGTGCAATTTATGGTGTTTGGTATTTCACTTTATTGCATTGTTCCTTGCTTTATGGTATATGTTATGTTATTGTGTTTTATTCTAGACGATTCTTTTGCTCATTTCTCTTCCTGAGGAAGCAGTATAGACTGCGAGACATGGGCGCATACTGTACTCCTATATTGTATCATCTGGAACCGTCCTTATTAACCGGTGTGATCAGTGACTTATCTGGGGAACTCTGTGCAACCTGATATAAGCCACAACTTGTCAGCTTGCAATTATTGTAATAATGTATCTTTGTGTTAACACGTTTAAGATGTGTAACAAATAAATTGTATTTAAATTATACATGGTTGGGGGGCGCATGTGCGGCCAGGGATGATGGCAGACGTGTTCTGCTGAGCTCCGCTCATCCCCGGCCAGGAGTGACTCACCCGCTTCACACTGCTGCTGATCTTCTGCCTCGGGTGAGTCACGTATCACCGAGCACCCGGCCCAGCACCAGGGAGAGGCTTCTATGGGGAAGATAGGGCGCTGGAAGCCCCCCTCCCCGCAGCCTCAGGACCCGCGGCCCTCGCCACTGCGGCGCTTCCTCTATAGGCCGCAATCCCCGGCCTCTAGTATAGACAGAGGTCCGAGGAACGATCCAGGACCTCTAGCGGCCGCGGAGGGTACTGCACCCTGCCTAATTTCAGCACAGCTGCAAACCTCTGCTCCGATCCTTCCACAAATGGGGGATCACGACCCCCAATCGAAAGCAGGAGAGGCTATGGACAACCCTACTCCAGGGTATCTTCCTGCCCCTAGTCCTCAGCCGACAAAGTCGTCCCCTC